AAAAAAAAAAAATGACTTTGCTGTGGGTGGACATGTGGTGTCACTGTAAAAATAGAACATAGCCGTCTTGACTCACATAAAGATTCAGCTCTGCATTTGTCATTTGTCACTGTCCATTCTCAACGTGCGATTCAGACACTGGACAAATGAGTTAATTAAAAACGTGCTTCCTTTGGATGTAATGTTACAGCCCTTCCAACATTTAGTTGTGTTTGAATCACAGCGTTTTTTTAACAGGTAGAGACTCAAGGGAACAATGTGTCCTTGCAAAAATCAGGATGTGGACCTCCTTGTATTCATTGGCTCATTCATTCCCTGATTCATTCATTCAATCAGGAATTATTTACTGGGCACAGACTGTGTGTCAGGCCCCTGTGAAGCTCTTTGAATTTCTTACTTGAATTTTCTTACTTGATATTAAAATAACTGTCTGCTGACGTTGCCACACTGGAAGCACAGGCGTCCCATCTCGGTCCCGTCCTCAGCACTTCCCTGGTCCTCCTGCCTTCACCAGCCCTGAATCACTGAGTTCTGTTACGCATATGTTTTTCCTCCTTTCGTGAAATTGAAAACAGAGTCCACGCTTGGTTCTTTGTCTTCACAGCGCCATACACAGGAGGAAGCTAAAAAAACCTTTGCTGAATGAATGAACAAAACGGTTGATTCATTCTGCTTTATCAACATTGCCTGTTTTCACTAATTTCCATAGTGAAAAGCTGACAAGGGCAGTGCCTGTCAGCTCCGTGGGTAGAGAAACTTGACAAGTGAATACCTTTTGTATGAAAGACTGGAATGGTGAACATGTGGCTACAGACAGCCTGGCCCTCCAGCCATGCTTCCCTCCCAAATGTGCAGGCACCAGCCCCGGGTTCTGGGGATCTGTGGGAGAAGTGGTGGGAACTGCTGAGCATGTGCCCCAAGATGCAGCTTTGAATGGGTGTGATTTGCCAGAGGATGTGCCCAGGCCCATCTGTATTTATTTAAAGCTGCACACCTAGCAGGGGGCGGTGGCTCACACCTGTAATCCCAGCACTTAGGAGGCTGAGACTAGTGTATTGCTTGAGCCAAAGCAAGACCTCATCTCTAAAAAATAGCCGAGTGTTGTGACGAGCTACTTGGGAGACTGAGGCTAGAGGATCACTGGAGCCCAAGAGTTGGAGGTTGCTATCAACTAAGACGCCACAGCACTGTACCGAGTGTGACCGCTTGAGACTCTATTCCCCCCCCATCAAAGAAAGCTGCACACCTTTATTGGGGAAGTGAGGTGTACGACGATGACAGGGTTTGATAGCTTTTCTTATTGTTGTTCAAGTGCCTTATTCCCAAGTGACTAGGCCCCTGTTGCTTGCATTTTTGTCCATCAAGTGAAGGGACAGCTGAGTCCTTTGAGAGACAGATTGCAGGATGCTGAGGCAGCAGGGATGTCGGGGGTCACAGCTGAGCCCCCAAGGATGGGTCACAAGGAGTCATAGCTCCTAGGTGCAGCCAGGATGGGGAGGCCATCCCAGGCAGCAATGAACAGGAGCCCACTACTCCCAAGAAGCTGGGTCCTTCTGGGTTCACCTGGACTTCTGTGTGGGCCACACACTCCTGAGAGCTGAGCACTGGGAGGGGACCAAGGGTATAGTGTGCTCACAACATCTCCAATTCTGGTTTTCATAGAATTTCCAGAAAAGCTGGGGGCATTTGGGAGGGTTGCTTTCACAGAAGGACAGAGATTGTGATTGGGGCCTAGACTTGGGGTAGGATAGTGAGAAGTAGCTGGCATTTTCAGGTGGGTTTATCAGCAGTCTCAGGGGCTGCTATTGCTTCTTGAAAGATGGCCTGGAGGTCCACCTTGTAGGCAAGTGGCCTCTGTTCTTTTTTTTTTTTTTTTTTTGTGGGTTTGAGATAGTCTCACCTTGTCACCCTTGGTAGAGTGCTGTGGCATCACAGCTCACAGCAGCCTCAAATTCTTGAGCTTAATTGATCCTTTTGCCTCAGCCTCCCAAGTAGCTGGGACTATAAGCGCCTGGCTATTTTTAGAAGCGGGGTCTCGCTTTGGCTCAGGCTGTCTGATCTTAAACTCCTGAGCTCAGGTGATCCACCCACCTCAGCTTCCCAGCGTGCTAGCATAACAGGCATCTGTAGCCTCTTTTTAACAACTAACTGTCCATTTTGACTGACTTTTGTTTTTGTTTTTGTTTTGAGACAGAGCCTCAAGCTGTCCCACTTGGTAGAGTGCTGTGGCATCACAGCTCACAGCAACCTCCAACTCCTGGGCTCAATCGTGTCTCCTGCCTCAGCCTCCCAAGTAGCTGGGACCACAGG